AAGGAACAAGAGTTTCAATTTTAAGGAACAATCCGCAAAGCACTAACTAGAATTTGAAAAAAAGTAGAGCATCCTAAAAATTACAGATTTCACTGGTTTCTATCATTTTTTGGCGTATGTTTGCAGCGTTCAAAATCATAGAAATTTCGGTCCAAAATTAATGAAATTGGGTAAGAAGGAAGTCACTTCCCATCAGGTGGATCCACGTTGCCCAAAAATTTACGTAGATGAGGCGTAATTTGCTACGACGAACACCTTGTAACGCACTACCGAATGGGGCCAACAATAAGCTAATCGAAACTTGTAGCGCGCTCTGTTGTTAGGGTCCGTCACAGTCTAATCATCATCATCATCATCATCATTAATATAAACTTCGAAGGATTTCACATTTAGGCGATTCCAAATTTTTCTATTTCACTCGAGGGGTTGCCAGATTGTGCGAGTAATGTGCATATTTTACATGAGTTTAAACTGGAAAAAGTCATGAAAAAGGAACCTATCTGGCAACGGTAAAGTCTGTGAGGGACGGAGACTGCCTTCTTGGGAAAACCCACGATTTAGCGGGAAGTTTCTTTAAAACAAATAGTTTCGTTTAAAGCTTCAAATGTATACTAGGGAAAACTATTTTAAAATAAAAATTGTAAATGGACACAGATGCTACCAAAAAAGAAAAAATTAAAAGGAAAGGAAATGAAATGAGGACATAATTACTTTTGCAATCAGAGAGAATAAAAAAGAAACATCAGAGAAATGTGATGAAAGTATAAGAAAAAAATACAAGTGGGCTCATAGCGATTCGGAACTCGAACTATACTATCGTTGAGCAGTTTTTTAGACCCCTGCGCCATCGAAAATCTTCTCAAGAAGTAAAGATGAACTTTGGCTACTTTAGCGAGTCAAATCGCGGAAGGAGATCTGCGAATCTCACTTTCTTCCACCCGATGGGACTGACGTTCGTTTCCCCCTCGATGTGAGGAAAAAAGTCCTAAACCGCAAGTCCATATCATAATTAGAACTAAAGTTATGGCCAGCGGTGCGCGACTTTTGAATAGCCCTGTATTATCAGCGAGTATTTTATTCTATGCTTCGTTCTTAAATCTGAGAAAAGCTAAAACAAATTACGATATGCACCTCATCAGATTTGTAAAAAAATACATGTAACATTTTAGTCTTTCTCAACCCTTATTATGGATGATCCAACCTAAGGCCTTAAAAATCCTTGCTTACAAGGACCCTAAGACTGATCTAATGGGTTTTAAAGGGTATGAGACCATTTTTTGGAGCCTCTCAAGGAGGGTTCCGGGTGCCCTAAAAAATTTGGATTTTTCTTTAGGGGGCCTAAAAGTTGTCTTATGAGGTGTCTTTAAGGTGTCTTAGAAGCTTCCCTGAAAGATGTCTTAAAGTGCTGATGAAAGTCGAGACACAAGTATATCTTTATAAGGTGACTTTTCAGACATCTTTTGGACACACTTTAAGACAACTTCTAGATATCTTTAAGTCAACTTAACATGTCTTTTAGAGTACCTAAAAGACATCTTTGAGACATGACTTAATTGAGTCTTTTTGCTACCAGGGCAGTCAAATGCGTTTTTGAAGAAATGACCGATTCCCCTCATTGCTTCATCTTCATATATTTATTAATGTTCAAATGAAGGGACGCTTCGATAACAAGGTTCTGTGACAAAATCATTTTTATCTTAAGAGTCTCCAAAATGTATACATCATAGTGATCAAAAGTCCAACTAATCAGAAAAATCGCTCGCGGAGCGAGCCGAATGTCATTCGCGTAGCGAGTGATCGGGGGTCCATGGGGCGCAGCCCCTTGGCTAGCCGCGACGGACGCGCAAAGCGCGTCCAGAACGGCTAGTGAATCATTATTAGTCGATGAAAACTCAGGTGACAATCCCTAGGAGTATGTATGATAAAATTGTAGTGCCAAACTTTCATTTTTTGCACCTTAAAAGTATGAATATAGATCTAAGCACGGTCTGTGGACCATAGTGCGTCGTCCGATAAATCTTCGTCCCTGATATTAATGTTACATTCATTCAGCAGAGTATCATTCAATTATGACATTAAATATTGGTCGGGTTTGTCTCCTACCCAGATACCCCCAAACACCCGAGTTTCAGGCGAATCCATCGGCAAAAAGTCGAGGTTGCCAATTGTTGACCATTTTGAACTTTAATCGCCGGGCATTTTGAAAAATTAGGGTTTGTTTAAAAATCTAACGTCGAATTTGTTCTTCTCGGGTTGAAATACCCCCAGATACCGAATTTCAGGTGAATCCATTGGCAAAAAATCGAGTTTGTCAAATTTTCGGCCACTTTGAGCCTGAGCCGGCGGCCATTTTGAAAAATTAGGGTTTTTTAAAAAATCTAACGTCAAATTCGTTTTTCTCGTGCCAAACTAGCCCCACATACCGAGTTTCATGCAAATCCATGTGCAAACAGCAGAGGTGCCAATTTTCGGCCATTTTGAACTTTGACCGGCCGCCATTTTGAAACGGTTTGAGATAATGACTTCGGATTTGCGCGAAAAATGTTCTTTTTTTATGCTCTTTCGAACGAGGTATCACAAAGGGGGCCTTCCCATTTGAAAAAAAAGTTAGGGTCCTTAAACCCCCCCAAGGGGGAGCCTCAAAAAGTTTGGGGGGGGGGGTCAAAAAGTAGCTCCCTATGATCTAGGAACACCCTCCAAGTTTCAAATCTCTACCTCAATTAGGTCAAAAGTTAGAGGGGGGGGAGGGGACTTTTCGAACACCCTGTAGATCCGTTAAGCACGGTCTGTAGACCATAGTGCGTCGTCCGATAAATCTTCGTCCCTGATATTAATGTTACATTCATTCAGAGTATCATTTAATTATGACATTAAATATTTTCGGTGTGAAAATGTGATTTACTAGTCTTTGGAAGTGGTATGTTCAGAGCCGGATTTAGCTTTTTGCCCCCTGGTGCCAAAAACATTTTGCCGCCCTCCCNCCCTTTCACTTCCAGCCATACGGGGTCTCAGTGACCTTAATGTGTAGGGATTTATTCCTGGATCTAGGGATTTTCCGGAATTTGTAGAGATCTAGGGATTTTTCAGACAATTTAGGGAGTTTCTTGATGAGGTAAAGTAAGTAAAAATCGACTCTTTTACCTTCGACTCAATAGAAAATATTTTTTTATCTAGGCCTTAGTGACAACACTATTTTCCCACGATAATAAGCCGGAACAGATAACAATTTCGTCACTCGATTTACTTGACAGTTCAACAGAAAAAAAAGAAAGGAAAAAAAAAAACACTCAACTAATATTTTTTCATTTCATTGGTCTGTTCACTGCTTTCAGAGGGCGGAAAAATTCAAATCTGCTGGAATCATTCCGTTTTATCTAAAAAAAAAAAAAAAAAAAAACCCTTTGACCTGTGTGACCCTTTCAAACTCGGTCATACCTTTAGTACGAGGGACCCTTGTGCTAAGGTTACGGGCTACGTATACATTAGCATGACAATTATAGGCAAACACGGAAAACTTGAGTGGAATCATGTGTAAAAAGAAAATTTGTTTAGATGGAAGTTCCCCAAGAGAACGTAAGTGACAGAAACATAAATTTTTTTTGATATAACATACTTGAACACAAGAAAGGAACATGCAACATGAATTTCCTGCTCACCTGATCGTGATCTATTCCAACGTTTTCCCATTCTTCATGCTGACACTCAGAATCGTCCTATAACATGAACGAAAACACATAAAAGTTACGAGGAGGAGGAGGTGGAAGAAGAAGAAGAAGAACAAGAAGAAGAGGAAGAAGATGATTCAGGGAAAATATCTTGCGAAAAAATCAGAGAAAAAACAAACTATGGTTGAATTTTAGGAACTTATTGCGGGAATTAGTAGCATATGGAAATGGAAAAATGCCAAATGAAGCCTATGGAGAGCCCTCGATATTTTAATGAACAGTTTTGGAGGATGCAAGGGTTTTTTTGGCGAAGGGTCCTTAATTGCATTGGCTCACTACATACTGGCATGAGCACAACATTTATAGGGGAAATCAAGGAAAACTTGAGTGGAATCATGCAAAATGTCATGCAAATGAAAGTTATTTAAGAGTACATAAATTGTGGTAACATGAAATTTTTTTTTATGTAACATATTTGAACACATGAATTGGACATCGACGGTGAAACTACCAAACCACGTATCTCGTTTGGGGTTTTTAAAAATCTACGCTCACATTTTATATTTTAGAAGTAGACCAAATCAATATCATTCCTTGAAATTTTCACGGAATTTTCTCCGCAGAAAGAGGAAAAATCACGGAAATTTTCAAGACTGGATGTTAAGTAGTTTATCATTTAAAAAATAAAGTATGACAGGAAGTCTGCGACGTCGCAAACCGAGATACGTGGTTTGGCAGTTTCACCGTCGACCTGCAACATGAATTTCCTTCTCATCCGATAGTATTCTATTGGAGCGTGCTCGGACTCAGAATCGTCCTGTAACATGAACACAAATTTTGTCTAAATTTTGTCTAAAAACATCAAAATAGCAAAAAGAACTACTCAAAATAACAGTAGGTAGACTTCAAACTTGGTCCAATGAAACTGGTTTCCGGTTTTCTGTACTAAAGACCAAAGTTTCAATCACAGATTTACTCCCCTACAATCAACAGAAATACAGACCCACTTACAAGCGACGATCCCTATATTACTACCAAAATTCTGAAACTCTTCACCTCTCTTAATTTAAAAATCTAAATTTTCGTATATACTCCCATTTTCAAAATTCTCTGTAAAGACGTTAATAGCCTGTGACGCTGAATGTCTCAAGATATACTGACTAACTAACTGAAAAAAAATATATATGAAAAAAAAAAATTAAATTCAGTAAATGGACGGACGGCGTTCCAAACAATCGATTCGTCGCAACATACAAGCACGCCATGCCACTGAAAGACAATAGGAAGAGAGCAGTTCGGTAGGAAGTAGAGACGAGTAAGAAAAGTAATACTTACCTTCATACATTGGCTATCCCGAGCTACGTCTATTACTTCTCTAACCAAAGTTCCCATCCCCTGGCAGAGCTCTCGGAGCATAAATAAGATGACGGCTCTGGAAAATTAAGAAGACAAATGTACTAAAATTAGGGTGCAACAGATGAAAATTGAAAATATGATAAGCGCCGTTCCATATAGGTGAAACAAAGGACACAAATCGGCATAAAATCTCAGCTTAGTAGTAGGGCAACGACAATTTTTAAAATAAGTTTATAGCCAAATTGTGCAATGAAAATACGAATTAAATTACAGTGCGGGGTGGGTATTGGACAATGTAGCAATACTGTAAAAAGGATTGTATGTTGCACCTTCATTTTTCGGGTTATGCATATTGAGTGTTACATATTGCCCCTTCAATCTGCAGGTTATGCAATACTGTTTGTTACCCCTTCAATTTGTTGGTTATGCAATAGTGTGTATTATCCCTTCAACTTGTTTTTGTTTTTTTAAAAAAATATTAAAAAAATATATCTGGTATCTAAATGGTATTTTTATAAAAAAAAACGCGTAGCGCTTACATAAGAAACATCGAAGTTCAGACCTGACCGTAATAGATGAAAAATGATAATAGCTAGATAAGAACATTTTTTTTATAGGCAATTTTTTTTATATAACGCATGCATGCGAAAGTTTTAAAAGTGAACATTTTTAAGTACCTATTGTATAAAAAATCATCATTTTCATGAGTTTTTCGCGAATTAGAAGATTTTTTAATATTTTTGCGAAAAGCACACAAAAATTATGATTTTTTTTAAACAGGGTGTTAGATAAGTCCCCTCCCCCCATCTTACTTTTTCCCTAATTGAGATAGAGATTTGAAACTTGGAGGATGTTCCGAAGGTCAAAGGGAGCTCCTTTTTGGCCCCCCTAAAATTTTCGGGGGGCCCCCTTTGGGGGGTAACGGACCCCAACTTTTTTTTTCAAATGGGAAAAGACCCACTTTGAGATACCTCGTACAAAAGAGCATAAAAAAAGAAACTTTTTCGCGCAAACTCGAAGTCATTATCTTAAGCCATTTCTAAATGGCGGCCGATTAAAGTTCAAATGGCCGAAAATTGGCATCTCGGCTATTTGCACATGGATTTGTTTGAAACTCGGTATCTGGAGGTATTTTTGCACGAGAAAAACGAATTTGACGTTAAATTTTTAAAAGAACCCTAATTTCTCAAAATGGCGGCCGGTTAAGGTCCTGAATGGCCGAAAATTGACAAACTTGATTTTTTGCGGATGGATTCGCCTGAAACTTGATATCTGGGGGTATATTTGGCACGAGAAAAACAAAGAGCCGTATGCAAAAACGACATTTTTCGCCCCTCCCCCCCCACTAAAACTTATTCAAACTTCGTCTATCAGTTACTGATACTGGAGCGCTTCTTTCCCCAAATTTTCAGACCCCCAAAGAATTTGGGGGGGGGGGGTAGGGAGGGTGGAAGTCAAAACCTGTGAACCTCGATATCTTTCGAACGAAACAAGATATTGAGGCTCGGTTTGGACGAAAAATCGTCTAAAATTGCATACTTTAAGATTCTAAAGGTCAAAATCCCAAAATTAAATTTTTAAATTAACTTATATGCTTTTTTTCAGTTTTTGAGGAAAAACAATTTCTTCGAAACAGATTAAACTGAAATTACACATTTCTTGATTTGAACCAAAACCAGTTTTTTAAATTGCTCGTCTTTTTCCGCATCCAACGAGTGGTCGTATAAGTTGGGGAACCGAACGGTTCCGGAGTTATGATCGATTGAAGTTTCCGCTCAACGCGTGCCGACCGATTTTCGCGCGCAAAAAAGTCGGATTTGACTGTTATTAAATCAGATTGAATGTTCAAACTGAGCAAAATGCATTATTAGGGACTCTTGAGGGTCGCTGAGTTCAGAAATTACAGATACTTCCAAAAAATTCACGTTTTTAAAATTACAGCTCCGTAGCGCTATTTTAGAAGCCCACTGAGCGCCGACCGGCCGCTCAGTGGTCCTGTACGGAGCTGTAATTTTAAAAACGTGAATTTTTTGGAAGTATCTGTAATTTCTGAACTCAGCGACCCTCAAGAGTCCCTAATAATGCATTTTGCTCAGTTTGAACATTCAATCTGATTTAATAACAGTCAAATCCGACTTTTTGGCGCGCGAAAATCGGTCGGCACGCGTTGAGCGGAAACTTCAATCGATCATAACTCCGGAACCGTTCGGTTCCCCAACTTATACGACCACTCGTTGGATGCGGAAAAAGACGAGCAATTTAAAAAACTGGTTTTAGTTCAAATCAAGAAATGTGTAATTTAAGTTTAATCTGTTTCGAAGAAATTGTTTTTCCTCAAAAACTGAAAAAAAGCACATAAGTTAATTTAAAAATTTAATTTTGGGATTTTGACCTTTAGAATCTTAAAGTATGCAATTTTAGACGATTTTTCGTCCAAACCGAGCCTCAATATCTTGTTTCGTTCGAAAGATATCGAGGTTCACAGGTTTTGACTTCCACCCCCCCTAGCGCCCCCCCCAAATTCTTTGGGGGTCTGAAAATTTGGGGAAAGAAGCGCTCCAGAATCAGTAACTGATGGACGAAGTTTGAATAAGTTTTAGTGGGGGGGGGGCGAAAAATGTCGTTTTTGCATACGGCTCTTTGACGTTACAACTCCAGTTTGTCACTTTTCGGCCATTTTAGACCTTAACAGTAGGGTGAATATGAGGACTTGCCCGGAATAAAAATCCAACAGCGTTGCATGATGGTGCAGAAAAATTAGAATTAAATAGCAGTGTTGTATGGTAATTATTATTCAATGTGGCAACGCTGTAAAATGAAAGTATTGCATGTTGCCCCTTCAATATGCGGGTTATGCAATCGTATAATGTAGCCCCTTCAATCTGCGGGTTATGCAATGGTGTATTTTTCAAGATGGCGGTTACAGCGTTGTCGGACGGTGCAAGTAAATAAGTGATTTAATTATTGGTGAAATTTGGCAACATCGACCGAAAGATGACATTACAGTGACAGTTGACATTTCCAGTGTTGAAAGATGGTGCAAGAAATTAGTTAATTTTTCGATGCAATGTTGCCAGATTGTGCAAAAAATTCGGGTTTTCGGACTTGTAAAAATTTTCGGTCAGATCGAATTTGGCATCAAGCCACGCGATATTCTTATCACAGAGAGCCGTACAACCAAGAAAAAATAACGATACTAAAATTGGAGGGTGATGGTAAAAAACGAAGGTCATATTCGGATTCAGCGCCTCAAAATGCATAAAGATCACCGAATGTCGTCGAGGAGACATTTTTTAATTTTGGTTTGTTGTACAGTATTATGATGCATATAACGAAAGATGGACATTAGCGGTTTTCGCATGATTCGGACTACGCCCCCCCCCTGAAAAGGGCTTCAAACCTAAGGAACAAACATTTTCACAACATTAATGAAAGTGTCTGACCTCCAAGAGTATTTTGACCCAAAAATCTCAAAATTGAAAAAATGGACATTAGCGGTTTTCACACGAGCCGATTCAATTTAAAAGGAGACCAGACGAATATCATGGCTTGGAGTTTTCACAGATTATTCTTTATAAAGAGAGGAAGAAATAGTGAAATTTTCAAAAAATGACTTTCAGTAGTTTTCAACGTAAGAAGAAAGTACGACAGGGAGTCTGCAACGCCGCAAAGCGAGATACCTACGCATTTCTGCAGTTTCACCATCGATGCCTAACTCCGGACTGGATCCAAGGGAGAGGATTGGCGTCTTTGAATACCTAACCCTCTTGGACCAAGGAGATAAGTCAACTTTTTAGGAAACCATTGTGACGATTAGAAAAAGAAGAAGAAAATTTAAAATTGGAATCAACTTACGCGAAAATGGAGATTATAAATATAACTTTGTCCTCTCTGTCCATCTGTAATCATAAAATATATACACTGCAGTGAATAAAATACGTCATAAAACAAATGCATTATCGGTGAAAAATTAGGAACACTAAACTACGACTAGCCTCCTTCATTCAGATTCAGATTCAGATTCATTTTATTAATAAAAGAAAAAACATAATACAAATTCATTGAAGAATGGGTCAGATAAGCTCCGGGAGGGGGGGGGCGACCCCCCCCCCCCCCNNACCCATTCTTCAATGAAGGAGGCTAGTCGTAGTTTAGTGTTCCTAATTTTTCACCGATAATGCATTTGTTTTATGACGTATTTTATTCACTGCAGTGTATATATTTTATGATTACAGATGGACACAGAGGACAAAGTTATATTTATCGAAGTGTATTCAAAATTAATTTTAAAAATGTCTCCGATGTGTGATACACCGATACCTTTGAATTTTGATCTGTTGAATCCAGATTAGAAAAAGAAGAAAAAAATTTAAAATTGGAATCAACTTACGCGAAAATGGAGATTATAACTTTGTCCTCTGTGTCCATCTGTAATCATAAAATATATACACTGCAGTGAATAAAATACGTCATAAAACAAATGCATTATCGGTGAAAAATTAGGAACACTAAACTACGACTAGCCTCCTTCATTGAAGAATGGGTTGGGCGCCCGTTGAGCGCTGACAGCTGTGGTGCGGCGCGCGGCAGTGCGCTCCGCCGATGCGGTAAGGTCATTTCGCCGCCCCTCTATCTCCTCCCACAATTGTGATAGATAAGTCATCCGATACATGAAAAGATGCAAAATTGCATCCTCTACAACGTTTATTTCACGTATTTTTAAAATCCGAGCTACCGGGGAACAATTAGAGAGCATTTTTTTTAAAAAAAATGAATTCTAAATTTTAAAAGAACCCCGCACAGAGCATGGGCTCAGCGGCTCTCTATGAAAGTCGATGAAACTTTAATAGATTGATATAAAGTTCATAGCTAAGGGAAAGCCAAAAAATTAGCTCACTTTTGCGATAGAAGCCGAGATATTCGCGATTGAACCCGGACTATTTTCTGTGCGGCGGCGCACGGTGGATCGAGTCAATGGGAGAGGTCGGTCATGGAGCGTTGTGCTTCCAATGTTACGAGGATAACGAATATTCCAGGTCATTTGATCGATTATGTACCACATATCTCATGTAATTT